GGTTTGTGGGGGGGGGGGGGGGGGGGGGGGGGGGGGGGGGGGGGGGGGGAGATTGAAGAAGGATAGGGTTAGGTTGGAGGCACTTGTCGCCCCCTCTGACTTCACTATACGGTCTATCTTTGTCTAGGTGACCAGTTAAGGGGAAGGAGGGAGGGGAAGGGAAGGAAATAGAGAGGAGCACCCTCGTTCACCCTAGACTCAATGTACTCTTTGTTGGATTTGATAGTTTAACTGGGCGATTGGGGCTAACCCCTATGAGGCAATGTGGGTCATTTTTAAAAGGGGGACTGTAATTTGGGGGGAATGTTTAATTAGGGGAGCATTGTTCTTTGGGTGATTGTTGGATTGTTGATGGAGTTGAAGAATTCCATTTGGTTTGATAGGGCTTCTGAGAGGGGGCATGCGGTGGGAGAGGAAGTGGGGATGGGTCATCCAAGTTTATAGATTGAGAAGAAAAATGAGGTTTTTTGGGGTTAATTATTGAAAAAATGCGTCGGCAAATCCTATTCCAATAATTTCTATGGAGTCTTTACCGCAAATGGAGAATCTATCGTTAGCTTGGAAACCTTCATGTGGGGATAAGCGGCCATTTTGTAAGCATTCAGTAGAAAATGGCCGATCCCTGGATATTTAGCAACCTCAATAGACAAGAAAAATAATAATTGCAGATGTATCAATAAAAGCAAACCAAATTAATTTGCCCCTTCGGCTTCCTCAATCATTGCCACTGCTCACTTATTTTCCTTCCCCTGCTACCTTTTTTTGTTCAAGACTGAGGTATATATAGGTACGAGAAACGAGGGTGAGAGGCTCCCCCTCGTGAGAGCGCGGGCATTTTTATTTTCGTCTCTTTGTTCTTGGCGGGATAACGATTCCTTTCTTGCTCCACCAACAGCCCTCTCTCTGTCTCACTCACACTCTTCACAGCCGTTTTGAAATCCTTTCTCGGCTTCCTCGGTAACCCTCCGGCGTCCATCTCAACCCTTTTTCTCTCGTTCTGCCCACCTCCTTCGTACAGTCCGTTCGCGTTTTTGCGGTTGTTTTTTTTCTTCTTTTTGGGACACGAACACCCAGTGCGAATACCATCCTCTACCCTTTGTGCATGTCCTTCAGAGGATTCTGCCCTCGATCTTCGAGTGAATCGATCCTGGGGTTTTTATTTATTTATTTTTTTTCTAGAGAGGTTGACAACCGTGGGGCTTCGGTGCGCTTATCAATTTTTTATGAGAGTAAAATGAGCGGTTTTCAATCGTCCCAATTTTTTCTCCCAGTTTTAGGATTTTTTTACCTCATATTTTTCACCGCAAGGCTCCGGCCGAACGGAGGTTGCTAATAGAGTAACCGCCTGTACCGGCATGGCTTTCCTGTGGCTTCCTATGCTACTCCTATGCTCTATAAGAGCGCGAATTAGGGATGAGCGATGTTTTTCCATTAATCGAAAACATCAACTTTTCGTGCCTAAACATTGATGTTTTTCATTCGATATTGCCAACCCCCATATAACCCACACATAACCTCCTTATTCTGACCCTTGTGACCCTATTTTCAATAAAAACAACATTAAAAAAAAAATTTTTTTTCTGTGTAATGAGATAACCGATTCACAACATCGATGTTTTTACAAACATCCCTAGTGCGAATGCGGCACCGGTGCAAGCATAGGGTTGCGAAAGCCGTTAAAAAAAAAATCGGATTTGGCTGAGGTACAGCTAGGGGTGAAGTTATGGCGCCAAGTACTGGTCGCATGGCCTCGTGCGCAGGCGCATGCGTGAAAATTCATTAATAACCCACCATTATCCATCAATTTTCTCTATTTGCAGTGCAAATATAAACACAACTCACGAGTTTAATCCTTGATCCCGCAGCACCATATCGAGTGTCAAGTTGACGAGTGTGTGTATTTGTTTGAGGACACATAAATCCACTAGCAGTGTTTTTTCTCTCCTTCTCTCCTTATTCAGTTTTTCACCCTCCTCGGAATAACATTGCGTATATACAGAGGCACTTGTTAGTGTTCCGTTATAACCTCCTGATTGTGTCGATCCTTGTCCGCGTTAATCGTGCGCGCGTTGCGAGAACACGACTAGGCACACTGGCCACCTTGACACGTATACACCAGCAATGCGAGTGTAGCACAAACGCACGTTGATGGTTTTACCACGCTGATTGTATTATTATTTACCAGTGGTCGTTTGTAATAGATGCACGCTCTCGTGGGTATGAAATACGGATTAGGGTGATTGGAAATTGTTGGGATCAAAACGCGTACTTGGCGCGCGTTTTTTTTTCGTTGGCGTGCGGTCAGACGGGATGGGTGGGTTCATGTACGGTTTTATAATCTACATGAAGTACTGTATGTATGTATGTGTACGGTTTTTTGTGATCAATTTGAAGGCAAAAGAAGAAATTAACCAAATCCAACACGTCGCAACGAGTTTGTGCCATGGAATTAACTGATACGGAGGGAAAATATCAAAATCGACCGGTACATATAATAATGTCTAATTTATCCATAAATTCATGTATTTCCACTCGGGATACATACAAATTGCTACCTATATACGGGGATCAATGCGACAAAAATAGAAATGCGCGGGAAATCGGTCATAACCGAAGCGTGTACTTGGCGCACGTCTCTAAAATCAAAAAATTCATCCCAATATCTCCGTAACCACTCTAGCTAGCGGACTTTCCATGAGAACCTTTTTCACAGCTCTCACTGCGCTCTCCAAAAAAGCTCTTCACCAAAATCCCCCTATCTCCCTCCCCCTCCAAAAAATCCCACCAAAACCCCCGCAACCCATCAAATCCTCCCACTACAATACCCCAATTCCCACAGGGTGTGACAAAACCCTAAGAAAAAACTATCCCACGAAACTTTCCAACTAATAAAAACGTCTGGAGGCTGTCCATGAGTGTGACGAGAGAGAATCATGACAAAAAAATAACCTAGCGGGGAGAGAAGGGAAGCACCAGAGCGAGACCAAGTTGTCTGTCTCTCTCTGGGCTCGGTGAGGGGGCGAGGTACAGAGGGAAGCCACGAGCATTCTCAAATGCTTAGAGGGAGAGGAGCGTGGGGGAGGGGTGAAGGGAGCTGACTCGATGCCTGCCTTTAGCGTTCAGCAGGGGAGGCCGGTGACTGGCTCTCGCGACTGGTAGGGGGAATCGTTGAATGAGGGTGATGGGGGGCGAGGGGTGGGGGGTGCTCAATGTGGGTCGGGGTAAAGGGGAGCCTTCAACATTTTGCCCGCTCTCGATGATTTGACTTCTCCTGGGTTTTTGCCTCTAGGCTGTCCTTACCGGGTTTTATAAGAAATATAAAAAAAAAACAGCGCAGCCCCGCAGGCCTGTTTTTCTAGTGTCCTTGGGGGACCCAACTTCTAGTTCAACCTCGGAAATGGGCACCTCACACGTGCGATACTCGGACGAGACTCCTCTTTGATAGAGTATCTCATTGTTTATTCATTACGCTCGATTCATCCGTCGATTCTTTATTCCTGACGCGTTTTTTTTTCTCAATATGAGGATGGAGTGCTTGGCAGCTAGGGGATCTTTGGATGTTTTTCGGCTGGGGCTTGAGCTGTGTTTGGCGTCATGTGGGAGGGGGGCAATCATTGAATGGTAGTAGTAAACAGCCGTGTGGACCTGTTCAAGTAGTAAAGACGCAGGAGTCTCGGACCGGGCGAAGAATTTCTGCATGCGAATGGGAATTGGTTGAACACGTACCGAGGAGTCTGAGTGCACTCTTGAAAATCGCTGTGACTACTTGATATCGTTTTGTATAGGATTTTGGGAGCTGGGGGTGTTGGGGGAGTGCAATATTTTTTTTTGTTATAGGTTTTGGTGGGTATTGGATTGAATTGCGTGAGGACATTTCGGAATAGTTGCTAGGGCATCTTGTTTTTTTAAAGAATATTTGGGATGAAAAAAATTCAGTGTAATTTTGAAGAAAAATATCAGTGGAAAATATATTGTTTATGAATTAAAATGCACGTTTGCCATTTTAATTATTAATTTCTTTGAAAACGTCAAGTTTCGATCTTTTTACAGAATTACAAAATTAAATCAAACTTGGAAAATTAAAATAGAAAAATGGCACTTCACCAATTTTCTTATAAGAAAACTTTTATTAGAAAATTGCTAGAGTCATTTTCACTTAATAAAAAACAACTACACTTCTGCTGAATAATCTTCTTCGTAAAAATAAAAAATCAATT